GTGGGGGGGGGGGCTTAATTACATTAATATTTGTTTACTCGACCTATTTGTTTTTTTTCTACATGCATAATATGGAACAATAAACAGAATGAATAAAAAATTGTTCTAAATGTATTCATACAGGGTGTGGCTGTGGGTGTGAACAGCAGTCAAGACTAGTTTCATCCTTGCTTAAGAGATTCATCAGTTGGCAAATAATCTCTATGATTAAATTAAATCAAAATAAATTTAAAAAAATCACAAGAATAAATTATACTGTTATATATGTTATATAGAACTTTTCAAAAAGAAAAAAAGTTCATATAATGATAATATCCTTTTACAGTTGTGTGAACAGCAGCGATAATCTATAGATTTCATTTTCCATGTTCGGATGATAATTATTGTTATTTTTTTGGCAATTATGTGTAAAGATGTATCTGAAAAAAAAGAAATTGAGAAGTTTATTTGAAAATTGATCGGTTTAAATTTCGAATGAGTGGGATATATTTTTATTTCTTTTTGGATGAATGAATAAATTATATATTAATTTTTTTTTTCAAAATGGTTCTGAATATGTTTTCATTGTTTTTTGGATTGATCGTTCTGAGCATAGAAACTTGCTTGTCATTTGTATTGGGTCGGTTCAGGCGCGGTGATAGTTGTAGTTTGTTGGAGAGCCGTGTTGTTTTTTTCGAATTTCTCTAAATAATAGTAATAACGGAAGTGTTTCAAATTTTTTATATAATGGAGTTATATAACTCATTTTTTGTTACAGTAGTTGGACTTACTTTTGGTTATTGTTGTGTTTTGTAACAATGTTTTGTTTGGTCGTTTTCATATTAGTTCATTGTGTGCTGAACGACGGTTGCGGTTGCCGACGATTTGTTTTGTGTACATTGCTGGTGTATCTTTAAATGCATGATGGTATATTTGATGCATATCTCGTTTGCATGTGTCGAATCGTTTTTCATATATAAAATGAGTGAAGAATTTTTCGTTATAGTTTGAGATTTTTTCTTCAGATTTTTTTGGGTCTGGGTTCGGTTGTTGTCTCTCATCATCCGATGGATCGTTGTCAATGCCAGCCAGCGCTGCGCTCATTGCCACTTGTGATTGCCGAGGTGTTGGTTGACCTAATATTTTTTTTCGCATAAGAAAATATTTCTGTTCCTCATCAATTAATGGTAGAAAAGGTCATTTTGATATATATTCCGAAAAATATTTTTGAAACTCATTTTCAATAAATGTTGATGGATAACTAAATAATGTACGATTGAAATAGAATACATTTTTGAATAAGATTTGAAATAAAGACTTACTCATTGTATAGTAACATCAATTTAATGGAACGTCGTTCATAATTAAATGCTTCGAATGTCGATGAATATCTTGCAGCCCGTTCAATAAATGTTTTGATAATATTTGAAAAAACATGTTGAGGATGATCAGATATAAATGGTTTAACATATGGTTCAGCTGCATGCTTATGATAGACAGATGTTGATAGAATGCCATTATTATTTGTAAGTTGTATATCAAGAAATGGAAGACTATTACCAATTTTATAGTCTAATTTAATATTTGGATGCTATGTATTCACATCATCTAATAATTTTCTTAATTCT